GGTGACATGTGGTGAAATTTTGCACAACGATAACTTCTTTTAAAACAAATAGAATATCAAAATTTAAAAAAAATCTGTAGATTGGAAAACTCTAAATCTGCAATTTTTTATTCTGGCTATTCTAATCTACAGAATTTTTTTATTTTCAGGGATAAGATTTCGCATTAAAAGTGAAAGCTATACAGCAGTTAAAAATGGGGTGTCACCGGCAATATTCGGTACCCATTACTTCTGGGGTTCCACAAGGATCGTTATTGGGTCCCTTTCTCTTCTCTGTATATATCAATGACTTACCTAGCTATGTATCATCCTCTACTCATGGGCCCGGGTCGGACTGTTTGCTGACGACACCAAGCTGTATCGTTGCATAAAGAATCCTTCTGATGCCTTGGTCTTGCAAGAGGATATTCAAGGTCTTCGATGTTGGTCAAATGAAAACCACCTTCATTTCAATCAATCCAAGAGCAAGGTACTCTCTATAACCAGAAAAACATCACCTTTGGTTTCTCCATACAGTCTTGCCGGCGACCTGTTGTCCTTTTCTGATGCTTATTTAATGAATTTATTGAGCAATCTACATACGTACTATTTCAGGTACAAAGATAAAAAAAAAACTTGACAAACGAAAGGCAAAACACACGTCACAAATCACAAATTAGTAGATACACTCAAACGGAAAAGCACAAACGGGACACTAAAAGTCCCATGCGAGGTGCTCCCCGTAATTAGTTTTGATATAGTTAATTAAATACACACACACACACACACACACACACACATATATTACTTGTGGTATTAAGTCCTATGGCAAGGACAGTCACGAGTTAATGACCACGTACAAGTCATGTCTACGTCATGCTGAAGTTGACTTGGGTATAACTATCAGTCCCAAATTAACATAAATCCTTCAAGTGAGCAAGGTGAAGTCCAAAGCTAACAAATTGCTTGGATTAATATATTAGGCGGTCTACCTTGGAAATGACTGACATCAAGGCGAGAAAGTATCTGTACTTACAGCTCGTTCCAAGCAATTTTGCGTACGCATCCCAAGTATGGTGTCCACAGTCCATACAATTAATTGAAAATATCGAGAAGGTGCAGAGAAGAGCAACCAAATTTATCCTTAATCTTGGGTTTGTCACCAACATACCGTATCCAACAAGACTACATAACCTAGATCTACTACCCATAACTTATTGGCACGAATACCTGGATATATTCCTACTCTATAAAATCATTAACAATCATACATATATTGACGACAGTGCTCGACCGGTTATATCAGGATCAGGAATCACTATAGAAGTGAAACTAATGACAATCGAATTAAATTCTTAATACCTTATGCCAAAACTGTAACGTTCCAGTCCTCGTATTTTATTAGAGCTTGTAAAACCTGGAACATCCTAAGTGATAACCTTCGAGACAGAAACATTGGTTTCTATGCTTTTAAATCAGGACAGAAACTGTACTATAAGAACGCACTATCGAACACGTACTAACTGTGACGATCCTCGGACTTGGAAATCTGTCTGTGTTAAATGTAAAAGGGCTAGATCCCTTGATGGTGTTTTAAACTGTTGTTAGTTGTCAGTTTAGCCGTTTTGTATTTGTGTTGTTATACTTTGTCTGTTTCGTTAATCAATTATTTGAACCGCGTAATTTTTTATGTAAATATTAAGGGATCGCCGTAATTGGGGGAACTGTGGCGAACTCCCTGGCACTACATTGTTGTACTTAGGTAGTTGCCGAATCTTATTAAAACATTAAAACATTAAAACATATTTAGGTATTTTGCCACTTAGCTGGTTTCAATCAATGAAATTAGTGTACGTTTCTACCTAGCTAACTTTTCTTCATTGTGAACTATAGCAATACAGCGACTAGTTTCGGATATGGAGCGAGATTTAAGCGACGTCTCGTAGAAGTTTTTGTCCATGAAATGGTTTGAAATATGGATAGCCCGAGATTTGCGATGACATGCTATCACATGTTAT